TCGGAAGGGCGCGCTTCGCAATAGATGAGAGGCGATGAGAGGATCGACCACAAGTTTCCGGGGGAAGGATTCTTGTGAGAGGACCGTTGCAATCCGGAGTGTGAAAAGAGATCACTCTGGGAGATCGAGCACAGCGCGGCATACCGAAGAGAACAGTCGAGAGGGATATTTCACCTGAGGAACGAAGCCGACTGCCCGAGAACATGGGAGCATGTCGGTGAATTGGGTCAGACGCGGGTGACGGAACAGCGGCGCATCGAGCGAGCTTGCCACGCTCGAACATCGGGCCATCGATTGCAATGCGACAAGAATTCGGGAAACGGATTTGATGAAGTACACAGAGTCTCCTTCACTGGGTCCATGATTCACAACCCTTGCCACAGCGTGGCAAGACATCACCTCGGAAATCTTGCGTGTCTCCCGGACACGCAGAGATTCACCACAGAATCATTCCGGCACCTCTAATCACTAATGATACTCTGGTGTGCGGCGGTTCAGGTCATAGATGAAATATTCCGGAGCGTAGCAGACCAGAAGTGCTCCTCCGTCTGACCGAGCGGTTTCTGAGAGGTTCCCGTATAATCCAGGTTTTTACTGGGCGAGTCGATAGGCCTGTAGAACTCGAAGACGCTCACGTCCCAGCACGCCGATAAATTTTCAAGTACAGGCTTCGTTAAACTCTGATCGATACTTATTCCAAACCGTAGAGACCGAATGCTTTGCTCGTGTCCGAGCGTTGCCTGGGGCTCGTAGCTTTCCGCAGCCAACCTCGATGATGCCTCGGGGAAGAGATCGGTCATAATCATGAGAGAAGCCCAGGTCTAGGTCAGTATGACGAGCTCCTTTCGTCCTGATCAATTTCCAGTCCGAATTCAGGCTCGGAATCCTGGTCATGGTCCGAAATTGCGAGCCAGGCATCCGGCACTATCGGAATGATGAACTCCCGAACTCAAGCATCGACTGACTCGAGCCAGATGCAAGCCGCGAATATTGTAACCGAACGAGATTCGCTGGAGTCTCCGGGGCGAATTCACTTCCTTCTCGTCTGGCTCTGCCTGGAAACATGAAAAGTTTCCCTTCTGCATCCTAATCGGGTCGGCGGGGGCGGGCTCGTTGAGAACGTGTGAACTTGAGCTCCCATTTCACGAGCCGGTATCCTTCTAGCTCACCCAGTAGCCTTCCTCATCATTCTCAAATGAATTCTCGAGAAATCCTCACTCTGAGAATTTCTGCCCGGACTATGCTGGCCATCGGACTTGTCCAGGCAGAACCCGAGCATAGAGCAAAGCTTCCGGCGCGTCGCGTAACGGAAAAGCAGCCGGAAATGATAATGGCGTTATCTAATGGAGAGACCCGAATGGTTCGCGATGATTCCGTGGCTCAAATTCTGTCATCGAACCACTTTGTTCATATCATTCACGCTGCCCAGCTGGTCCCCATGAAATTCTCGAATCGAGAGGCCCCTAACGCCCCTCAGAAGAACCATGAGAGAGAACGACGTTTCCCGATGAGAATCGCCAGGATAGCTCGACAGGATATTTCCCCGCTCCTAAAACTGCTGCCCGCTAAGCCGATAAGCCCCTAATCGGATTCGGCGTCTCGTCGTCGAGCTTATGTGCATCAACGCCGCGTTGGATCGGGAGCGATCCCTGTAGCGGCAGGAATGTTTGGAAAGCGGAAATGTGTTTCTCCGAACAGAAGCTGATATTTCGCGTCAGTACACTGAATCTTCAAACGAGAAACGCCTTGAAATCACGAGGCTCGCGACTCGGTCGACTTCTCCGGAGTTTTGATTTGAAAAAGTTTTCTTCGCATCACAGCCCGAATTCAGTCTCGCACAAACCTCTTGGCAAGGTACCACCGTCTATCTGCCATGCTCCCTGTTTCCGGCGCTCATCTCCCCTCGATCTGGACGAACGTATTTTGAGCGACCTCCCGATGGCCAACTCGCCCGAATATGTGAGCAAAATGCGACTTCTTGTTCTCATTGCCCCACTCACCCCTCATTCCAGAACCGCCCCTCTCCTCAGACTCCTTCATTTCTGGTTTCTGTTGAAATGCTTCGCCTAGAATTACTCGAATAAAACATCTTATCGCTCCACTGTCCATTCCGGCCGCTGTGGAGTTGAAGCCCGAGCCGATCCGATGCTGATTGATCTCCCATTTATGCTCGCAATGATAGATTCCGATCAAACCGATGATATGAAATCCGTGTTTCATGTCGCTCCTTGGTGTCGTTCGCGATCAACCATTCAGCACATGTCGCAGCCTTTGGACCACAGAGCGCCCGGGACTCCTTCATCTCAGGAAGTAGGAGCGAGGAATCACTATCAGGAAGTCGGAATCTATTCTCGCAGATAGGTACTTTAGAATTCTTCGGGCATTCATGGTTCATCGGCGAATCCCCGGTACTCTCGTTCTCCCTCATTTCCACTCGGGCTTTGCAAAAGTCCGGAAGTCTTCGAGCTTCTCATGCGCTGCCTCTTACTCGATTTCGAGTCAATCCCGTCCTCAATGCGAGGATAGACAGCGGGTCGGATAGATAGGTTTCGCGGACGCATGAGGAGGGCTTCAGTGAGAAAGTTCTGACTGCTCCGTACAAATCATGATCTACGTGACCGAATCCCGGACTACTGGAGGATCGGAATGACCGAAGAACGACAATGAAGTCACAAACATCGGCTCATCGTTGAATCAAATCTTGGCATCGGGAAAAGGTTTCCTTGAAAGACGTGCCACACGGCGGGCGGTCGTTCGTCAGAAACCCGCCGATCGGGAGTTTTTTTCTTATCCCGAATCCTGACAGGGTTGTTCCGCTGGTCTAAACAACAGACATTTCTGGACGGACTGTCGCTAATCGACCAGACATTCTTTCAGCCGCGCAGTCCTCTCGTATAAGTCGCTGTCCGAGCAGCTGGGGCTCATATTCTCTCTAAGCGTCCGGCTCTCTCTAACTAGGAAACTTGTTCCTCATCTCCAACTCGCAATAAATCGGACCATTCGCAGCGACGGGGAGGTCAGCACTATCCGATCGAGGAACGTCTCGAGAGGACCGGGTCTCGGCTCGATCGGCTCATTTTCGCCAGCCCCGCCGACTGGGAGAGCTTCCCCGGCCCAGAATTCCCTCATAAAAATTGAGCTCTTCTCCAACACTCGGAGCTCACAATCTCCGACGAGATGTTCATCGCCGCAGCGTACTGCCTCTTTCTGTTTCTAGAATTTAGTTCTACTCAAGAAGTTCGTTACGAGCCCATCAGGAGCAAAGGAAGGTCGGAGGATACTGAGCTCTGGAGTAAGGGAACGGTGAGTTTCGTTCAGTTGATAGGTTCGTAAAGGTTCTTAAGTAGACATGGTGGATACTCGCTGTGGTAGATATTCTGTCTGGTTCCTCATCTAGGACGAGTATGTCCGTGGTTACGGTCTGAGTTTCGAGTGGCTAAACGTGACGACGCAAGATGATGTGGAGCTCTGGATTCATCACCTTTGGAATCCCAGGATTGAGGGGACGAAGGTCCCTATGCTGATGGTTCATGCTCTCGCGGTCAACGGAGATGTTTTCCTCCTTAATCTGCCGGAGCATGATCTGGCAATGACGTTGGCCAACAATGGCTACGATGTTTACATGGTAAACTTCCGAGGTTCGTCATACAGTCCTCTGTCCGTCGAGCAATACGTGAATACCTCGTAAGTTACTCCTTTATCCGGGAATCCCACAATGGAGGACGCGATCCCAGCCTGTGATGACGATTGACGAGTTATGATATGGAGACCTCATTGGTCCGTCGGGAGTTCCTTTCTTGGATACCTTACAGTTTGGACGACTGTATCTTCAAAGATCTCCCGACGACAGTCGATTTCGTTCTGGAAAAAACGAATCGGAGCGATCTCAATATCGTTGCCTATTCGAAGGGCACGTATGTCACTCTCGGACTTCTCGCCAACTCGCCGGAGTACAACAGGAAAGTGCGACTCCTCGTGCTCATGACTCCTGTCACTGCGATAAGTCGACCGCCTCTTCTCCTCTTTTCCGTGTTCTACTTTCTGGAAATCGGAATCAAGACAGTGAGTCGATCCTTTGCGGGATCTTGCCGTGACTCGCGCTGATAACTCTATTCGTCTCAAGCCCTAATCAAGGAAACGATTCCTTCAATAGATAAGAATCCGTAAATTCTCATTCAAGTTCGGCACGGCCCTGGCGAACCTCCTCGACACGAATCTGCTTCTCGATGTTCAGCACTTATTCGGTGTGCCCTTTGTGATCGACCGCCTCGCCCATATTGCACCTCTGGGAGCGCAGTGCGTATGGAATTCCGCGTTCTCAGGATACCCAGATTGCATCAGTCGCACAAACTTGAACATCGTAAGCAATCTGATGGATTGCTGATCCATCTGATGCCGGCTCCGCTCGAGGTTTTCTTAATCGCAGTCGACTTAGGCATGAGCGAATTCTTTCGGGTTTTCTTCGCCCCTTCCAGGATCTCCTCGAGAAAATGTTCATCCGAGGCTTCCCTGACAAAGCATATGCGCGTGAAGTGATTCAGTTCAGCCAGAATTCTAAAAGCGAGAGATTTCAATCGTATTCACCGTCTTGGTTCGATGGAGATGCGGGACTCATCTTTCCCGCTTTGAAGTCCCTCCTCGCTCCGTGGAGCGACGACGGATCACTGGTAGGCCTGTCCGGGGCTACCGTGTTATCTACCCCAGACTGATCGGAACAATCTAGATCGTAATCCTAGCCCGAATTTGCGGGCCTGGTATCGGTGTGAACATCCCTAGCTATCTCTGGTCGGCCTCGCTACAATATTTGATGAATGAGATGATAATCGGTGGGAAGGGGTTTCCACAGGAAAACGTCAAGGAGTACAGCCTGAGCGCCATCAGCGCTCCAGTTGCCATCCTTCAGGCGAACCGAGAATTATTCAGCCAACCCAAGGATTACACGAGGATTCGGAACAGTCTCTGTCCGAACATAATTGGAGGGAAGCTTTCCCCTCACAAATGTACGTGAATCGTGGGACGTCTGTGTGGTGAGATACCTATTTGATTCTCCATCGCCAGCAACTTGATGCGGCTCGTCTCGAGATGCCGAACGTCCAGAGAAGTCGAGCTCCTGGACCCGAAGATGATTCATTGTCTCTTTGCAGATGTTTTCGAAGTCAACGTCTCGAATTACCTCCATGTAGACTTCGGAGTCGGAGCCCACAACGATGATGTCTACGTGAACGCCTATTACATGATTATTCGCGAGCACGATCTCTCACTCGACAGCTCCTTAGCGACCGTTCTCGGTTACGTGGACGCCGATTTCAGTCATCTCTCACCTCAGTCTTGCGACATCTGCAGCGAGTGTGACCGATGACATCGGGCGTAGGTACGGTGAGGTCGACTGGAAGCATCATATTGGGGTATATCTCGTCTCAATCACAAATAGAACTGAATTCGGAGCCACCACAGACGCTTAGATCTTGAACCCGGGAGGGGTTTTCGCTTCCCGATCGGGAAATAACAAACAGATGGTTCGGCCAGGAAGACTACCGGCTCTAAACAGGGGGCGTGATGGTCCGACTGAATGTATGATTGTTGAGCAGTTTTGCGAATAATCCCCCTATAGGATCCCCCTATAGGATAAAGCAGTGATGTCGGTCCGTCACCGTATTAAAAGTCGGAGTTATTAGCCTGAGAAACGACTTCAAATCACCTCGTGACGATGCAGAATCATTCCTGCTAGCGTAAGAAGCAATTTTCGACTCGATCAATCGCATCGTTCTCAAGCTATTCCGGAAAATTAGCAAGTTTTTCCCCGGTGGTCGCTGGATGTTTCTCCTCTTCACTAGCTCTCCTTACATGATGCCCCGACCGTTCCGCTAAGGTGCGATTCGAAAGACTACGCAGCAGCCTTCTGAGTAAGCATGATCGGGGTGATCGAATGCTAATCGGGGTTATCAGAGGATCGAGACCGCACCAATAAGTTCCAGTCCCTCCAGCCTCAGGAGCTCATCTACTCCTGGAGCTTGCGAGTCAGCATTGCATGAGAGTCATCTTGTCATTCATGGTATCGCGAGCGCTCGAGTCTGCGAAACTATGAGGACCGCTCGCTCTGCATTACCCAATGAGCCGATAGCTCCGAGATCGCACGCAGAGCTCTTAAAATATCGTCAAATGATATTACGATTGCTCCAGCGACAATCGCACGATTCGATTGATGGCGCAGCAGCCTACCGAGCGAGCTTCCCTAAACCCCAACGATTGCTCGAATCGCCTCGGGACTCGATCACCAAATCGGAACACTGTTCCACATATTCTCGAACTCCAAGTTTGAGATCACCTGCCTAACATCGGAATCGCTATCAACGGCCACGACGAGCACTGTATCTATCCCGCCATTATGTAAATGCTTATCGCTCGTTGTGAATAACTGACTACCTCAGACCACTACCCGTCGTGGAGTAGACGATTGACATTTCATCGAAAACATTCGCCGTGTGAAGTTGCTAGCTGGAGCAGGATGCTCCCTCACTCTAGAGAGCTCCCGTAATTCATCTCCCGAGTGCTTGCGTGGAGGGATCGTCCCATTCGACAACCCCCGAGCATTTGACGGCAGAGCCGATTCATGTGGGACGAGATAACGTCACCCAAAAAAAACTCTTTCCGATGATTCTCTTTCGATGATTCGATGAGAATGCACACTGCAGCGAGGATGACCACTATTTGCGATGTGTAGCCGAAAGTACGGGCGATTAGTTCGAGCCCCCCAGACTTTGAGAGGAGTCCGAATGGGCGATTTCCGTATTTCGCGCTTGATTCGTTTTTCGAGATTTCAACACTGTCGTGACTTGCTCATCTCAGTCAGGGCTACACGATACTCAATTCCACCGCGATGCATTTCTCTTCATTGGAAAATTTCCGATCAGACCCCTCAACCTCGAGCGAAACACGAGATGCTCGTTATCTTCGTCGGAGGAAACCCCTCGCGACCAAGAAAGCCAACCTCGACTCGTCGACAGCCCCAGACTCCACGAGCTTTTATAATGGAGTAGTTCCAAATGTCTGATCTAGGCAGGCGGGCTCACCGCTTTCAGGTACAGCTGAACATGGCGATTCGAGGAGTTTGAGGTTACCCCATTTATTCTGATCGACCGGCAGTCCCCACTGCAGGCTCTGGATGATTGAGAATGCATGTCCTTAATCAGAGTATTTACAGTGTACATATGGGCTCATTCCAACATCCGATATCTTACCCATGTATCGCCCCGAAAAAACAGGACCCATGTCCAAGCTCCCGGAGTTGATTCTTGGGCTCTCTGTAGAATTCTAGGGAGCTTATCGGCGAGCTCTAGAGATTACGCTCCGCGGGAATCTCGTCTCATTTCCGATTCTCTACCGTTCTAGCATCCCCACTATCTGCTCGTGTATTGCTCGAGATTTGAACCCCGTCAGATACGGGAGGTTGGTATGATCGTGCTGGAACTTCCTCTCCCTGACTCACGCCGTTCAGAGACAAATACCGATTCGGAGCCTGAAAACCCTGGATCGGAACGAGGCATCGAGGGCCCATTCGATCAGGAGATAAACACTCGCACTCCCCTCGCGAGCTTACGATGAGTCTGACGCGCCGAAAATCCCTTACAATCGATGAAGAATCACAACGCGAGAAGCCAAGGCCTAACGAGTCTGGCGGGGAATCGCTGTTCCAATGAACACCATCGGCCCAGGCGGGGAAAATACGCTCGAAGTTTCTTGCGGATCAATCACGTTCTTCGATACATTACACACACACTGCAACCGCATACCACGGAAGAAATAAGCATCTAGAACTAGAACCAACTCGACTCATCGAGTGTGAAGATTTTGAGATGGATTTGTTCAAGGGCGGGGCATTGGTCTGAGCTAAGCAGGTGGAAGCCCATCCCAGCTTCGGGGAATCCTGTCAGAAGGGTAGGCCGGCAAAGTCGGCTCTGACGGAGAGGAGGGGGCTAGAAACGGTTGAGGCGTCGTCGGGAGACGTCGTGAGGGGTGGGTAATTCAATCGCTGGATAGGGACCAATCCAGGAGAACTCCAGGGCCGTTGATCGAGTCGATGGAGTTTTGCGGATGAAAACATCAGGAATGAAGATTTTCTCGAACGATATAAATTACTTATATTAAATTCACATACATTCATCAATATATCACGATTTGCTGAAGTTGCTCCTGAGACTCTCGAAGAATTTGAGATAATGATGCAAGTTGTGGAGTTGCAACAGGACCTGAGCCAACATTTCTCTGGTCACGAGCAAGTGATTCACATAGGCCCTCGTGAATCCTTCAGTGCAAGTGTAACACTTGCAATTCTCGGATATCAACCGCATGTCATCTTTATAGTGAGTCTCATTCAATTGTAGGTAACGGGGCCCCTCCACGGCGAGTTTCACATCCTGGAAGGTGAAATTCAGCGCCTGGCCTCGATCGCTGCAAAGGCAAGCGAACGACGAATCGAAGCAATCTACACCGGCTTCCACGAGTTTCATCACAAGATCCGGATTGAAGCAACCCAGCATGAATCTCGGCTTGTCCTCCGGTAGTTCTTTGAGCGTTGCTGTCAAGACGTCTTCAATATCCGAATAATTCAAGAGAGCAGTGGACTCTCCATTATAGTGAAAACCGTCGATGATGTAACCAGAGACGCGACTCTCGTTCTCCAAAGTACCACGAATCGAAAATTTCCGTGACTTGACATCGAATCCCCCTTGGATCGATGCTAGGACACCGGATTTCAGACTCTGTTCTCCGTGGAGTTTCAGGCACTCCTCCAGATAGTCAACCGATCGGGTTACTGAATGATTCAATCGTTTGTTCGAGCAATTTTGTGGCGTGTCACCGTCTGTCAGCGCCTGGTACGCGCTGGGTTTGAAAACTGAAATCAGCTCCACGAGGTTTTCGCTCGACAATCTCACCCTCCCGGCTGGTTTCCAAATAGCGACACCAGCGGAGTCGTTGTTCCCTGTCGGTACTTCTCTGAGCGCTTCATGCAGCGGAATGATAACAGGATTTCTCGCTGGGAGTCCGCAGAATTCACCCAGGGGCTTCCGGAAGGTCTTGACACTCTTGAGCATATCGTAAACCGATTGAAGGGGTATGACAATGGGCCACGGGACGTCTACCACACGTTGGAGATTGTCCAGCGTGAGATGGGGCACGGAGCCCGACTGCGCATACAACATGCATCCTGGCGTGAAGAACGGCGCCGAGCCCTGGAAAACGACAGAGCCCATACGTCCCGCGGACACTCTGTTCAATGTGAATCTGATCGGTTCCATCCTCGCTCACGTAGGGATTCGCACGCCGGCGCTCTTTGGAATTTTCTAATTAATCCAGCCGGCACAATGGTTGGAGTCCTCCGAGGACTGTGTCATGGAGCAGCCCAATATTTTGAGCGAATTGTCTTGAGGAACATGCTCACTCAGACCGTTGAGCCATCAGTCTACCGAAGTTTTTCGAACTTCCGGCGAGTTTCCAGCGCTTCAGCAGAGAACGGTTGGCTGCGCGTTTTCGGTCCCGGCGTTGTCGCAGACGAATGTTCACCAGAGGCTTTGATGATCTTTGCTTAAAGACGGCGGAACTTGCGGTGATTCAGGGCGGCCCGGAGTGGGGGAGGGTTGAGATTTAGCAAGCGGATTCTACTTACCTACATGTTAGGCTCGCGCATTCCCCTTCGAATATTTCCTCATAAATATCCCTGCAAACGCTTCCGTTTTCACGAAGCCAGCGCTGCTGATTCTGGAGAAGCGCTACGGCATCGAGCATTTCTCGTCGGGAGACTTGCGCGGTCGCAAGCATTCAGTGACATCTGAGACGAGAACTCGACGCTTTTGAAACTCACCGAACGTCTTCGGATGAGATTCGAGTTGATGAGCGCCGATAACGTTTGAACCGCGCGCCATGACTGAATCCACGGTTGGGATGTCAAATGCACGAAGCATGATGTCTTGTGAGGCGAAGAGGAAAGATGCAGTGCATGGTAAACTCGGTGAGCAGACGTTCCATCTCGAGGAAGGAAGAACCGCAATTCTGGTAGAAGAGATAGCAGGTAATTCCTTTCTCGATAACGGTGTAGAGTCTGGTTTTCTCGTCCTGGTGATCCATCTCGTCGCCGCATACCAGAACTCCAGATGCATTCCACTAACCGGAGACTCGAAGGTAGCGCCGGCAAGATTCCAAAGTCTCTCCTTCTCCCTCCGGCGCCGGAGCATCCTGCTGAAACCCGGACCTGAACCATTAGATATGGAATACCCTAGCTAAAGCACGACGCTCGCAGATGTTGATCTCCCTCTTCTCGTTTTGTATCTGAAGATCTTCAGGTATGAAGGTACTTTGAAGGCCGCAGGGTTTTGTGGAAGCTTGAAGAAGAAATCTGCTTGTTCCGATAACTAATAATCCCTCGTTCCTCAGGATGTCACTCTCCATATTACCAAATGAATTGTTGGAGAAGATCTTCCAGTACTTGGATCCAGACTCTCTGCTGTCCGTCTCAGTTGTGCATCCGCGCTTCCGGAGTGTTTCCAGGAGGTTTTTCGATCTCCGCGTGTCGGAAATCAAGAATTTGACCGAGCCCGTCCTGCAATACTTGACTCGTTACGGAAGCACATGGCTATCGCTCGATCTTTCGCACGCCCGTCTGAGCGATAGTATGCTCTGGAGAATCGTGCGAGGCTGTCCGAATCTAGTGGAGCTCAACCTGTTGAATGTCACCGTTTCGCACATAGTCCTGAAGAATGCGCTTGCAACGTTGGTGGCACTCGAAGAACTCAGTATGTACGTCGAGACGGTTGACTTGACACGATTGGAGAATTTCCAAGACGAAGGGCGACGGCTCTCGACAGTCAGAAAACTCAATATTGAAATTAGGCCTGAAACAGGAGCGGTGGAATCCTTCTTCAGCATCTTGAACAGATGTCCATTCGTCGAGTTCGTGCATGTCAACGTGATCGGGATCGAGGACCCTCTGATTAGGCCTCCCGACCGCGCGACAGGGCTGCAGAAAGAGATGAAGGGCCATATAAGACAAAGTCTCAAAACATTGGTGATGTCAATCAGCATGTCGAACTGCTCGATATTCCATCGGGAATGCCTGAAGAAGATCTTCGTCGGGAGGCGAGACCGACGGATCTCTGACTGGATAGTCCAGGATAGGGAATGCTACATATACGAGAACGGCAAAGTCAATGGAGACTTCGCAAGCGATCCTGCCAGAGCACACCTGAGCTTGCTCGGCCATGATATCCAGGTCCTCTTCCAGGGGATACCAGACCTCGATAATTGGCTGTGGCACCAGAGAAATCCCAGACGACTCCGTCTCACCCGCACGATGTTTCCTCTCGTCCCGGACAATATTTTCCCGACGATACGGTCTTCGATTTCTAATCTCGTCGAATTGGATGTCATCGATTGTCACGAGCTCGCTCCCCTCGAACTTCGCGGGAGTTTTTTCTGGCTTGCGTTTCGTTAGAGAGCTTGGCAGTGTCCATCTGCATGCTGATAATTCGGCCCCCAAATAATCTTCCCGCGGTGCTGGACGACATTTTCTCGAGGATGAGGCTGAAGCGATTCTTCATCCACGGATACCAAGAGCAAACCTTCCGGAGATTCTCGGCGCGCAAAGTCTATTGCCTCGGCTGTGCGACCCCTGAGCGGCGGCTCACCGAGAATTCCATTCCTTCTTTCGAGAACTTGGAGCATCTTGAGGAGTTGACGCTACATCACGTAAGCGTGTCAAACTGTGCACTCCCCAAACTTTCGCACTCGAAGGCGCACACGATCCGGGTGGTCATGCGCAAAGAGAGCGATGCGGTCGACTGGGCCGACTTCATCCAGAGATGCACAAACTTACAATATCTCAAACTCTCTCATGAGCGTTTCGAGAAAATTCCACCGGACTCTATCAGTATATTCCCTGCACTTCTCCACGGTCGGAAATTGAGAGAAGTGTGCCTGGGCTTGTGTCGTCCTCTGGACCCTGGGGGAACAGCCGCATGTGAAGCTGCTCTCCAGAAGCTCGAAATGATGCACTTTCATTTTCTGAACGATGAAAGAGGCGCAAACGAGAACGACACGAGGATTATGAAATCAAGGAACAGGTGCACAGGTACGGTCCCTAAAGGAGAACGAAATGTGTTGGATTCGTACGAGACTAATTTCAACGCCCTCAATGGAATCCCGGGCCGTAAGCTCTGTTATCCAGGGAGTTTTATCGGACTGCTGAGACCTAAGGGCTGGGACTAATGTAAGCCTCACCAGTGACTGTAAGTAAAGGAGTCGGGAGCCCGAGGCCAGATGGAGTCCGAAGCTCCTATAGAAAGACTGTGAAATTATTTCGCAGATGTCCGTATCCCGCCACAAGTGCTTCTTCCGTTCCCCTTTCTGGAGAAATAATCTGTGATGTTTGATGAATAAATTCGCAATCTTCGGGAGATCATTCGTAATATTCGATGTTTGCAATTTTCTTTGAGTGAACTTACGATCTTCGATAAAATAAGCTTGCCATGAGAGTAGAGGTGAAGCCTCGGGCGCAGCGAACTCGAATCAGGGTGGAACCCACGCGGAACCCGGCCGGAAATCTCGAAGCGAGAACGGTTGTGGATATCACGGACCTTCTCTCACCGAAATGCTCGACTCAACCGAGATGAGTCTTCACGGATCTACGTGGCTCTCACTCGGATGGTCGAATGTCCTACAGGAGGTCGACCACGACTGACAAACCCTGAAGGTCTGTCTTAGTCTAGTCGAGCTCAACCTTTCGAATGTGAAGACGCACCACATGACTTCCGGGAAGCCGTTGCAATTTCGGGAGCCAAGTTTCTCGTCTAAAGGGTAGATCAGTCACGAGTCGAAATTCACCTGGACTGAATTTTCTGTTTCGGGGGAGCAGCTCGCAAAGGGGTGACCCTATAATTCTCGAGAGGAGTTGCGAGTGCGAAAAGGGGGAGAGGGACTGAGGGGGAGGTGGGAGGAAAAAGTAGAACAGCCATAGGGAAAAATGCATTGACGCACTGCCCAGAAGAGTGGAGAAGTCAACTGGAGTGTGGGGCTCATGCAAATAATACCCACTGAAAATACCCAAGGCTCTTTACCTGAAGGGAGAGAGCGGATAGTGTTGGATTTGAAAAGTTCAGGATCATACGTTGAAGGGCACACCTGAGGGGGAAGAGCATTGTGCAGGGGAAAAACATGGAGGCGAAATGAGCAGTACGATTGGAGAAAAGTTGGACAGAGTGGGAATGCGGCTTGGTACTCTTTCTTCTTACACGGGCGGGGACCAAAATAGGGGGAACGAGATTTCATCTGAGCATTCTCCATGGAAGTATCGATAAAAGAGGCAGAGGTCGGTACCCTTACGACGTGAGAATAAAGGTTCAAGAGAAGAGGATATGGCTGAATCACCGATGAGACGGATAGCACGTTTATGAATCGAGTCCTGGATAGAAAGGGATGAAGGAGCGGCCTCGCCCCAGATATGCGAGCAGTACTCGAGAGAGGGACGGATTTGGGTTTCATAGAGCAGAAGAAGGTGAGAGGGAGAAAAATAACGTTTTGCTCTGAAGATGAATCCCAGTTTCTGGGAAGCTGATTTGGCCATGTTTGCTATGTGATTGTGCCATTTAAGATTTGATCTTTAAGCACACGCCTAAAATAGAGATATTCGATGACGGAAGTAGCGTTTCGTTGTCGGAAGAGATGGTTGGACTAAAGGGCTTGATTTTCTTCGTGAAAAGGGTGAAAAAGCTGCGTCTTCAGGGAATTGAACTGGATACGTGTGCTTTCGACAATCAGGAAGCTCAGCTTCGGAATGACGCCTAGACAGAGCTATGGAATCCTCCGTCAGCGTCTAGAACGGATTTTCATTCAACGAATACGTTCATGTTAGTGTGATCGGGACAGATGATCTCTGCTTCCGACCTCCGGACCGTGTTACGGCGCTCATCAGAGAGATGAAAGACGGAAATCTCCCTTATTCGAGATCGACTGAAGTTTTCCCGGTGCTCCGAAACACTGCGAGCTTCAGCAGTGTCTGTTCGCCCGTTTATCGTCTCGCCCGTCGATGAGTGTCCCGGTGACCTGAAAGAATTTCTACCTGCCACTGAATACTTATTAGAATAGGAGGAAATTCTGCATCGTACGCGATGACAGGAATAAAGCTGAATGATCTTCATCTCGCAAGGTTAGGTTAGATTAGCTTCAATTGCGAAGACCGCGACCGATGGTTCGCCGGAGAGTCTACGCTGTTCTTGGAAAACCTGGGACATCTGGAGGAATTGACGTT